AATGAAAACGCCTTCTACAAGTTATAACCAGTGCTCTGCTGGACACTGATAGAAGTCACAAGGCTGCACTAACTGCTGATGAGAAAAGGTATTTAGCAGTTTATATTGACTAAAATAATTTTATTTACATGTTCTGTGTACTATAGAAGACTGGATAGAGTGAATGCAGGGCCCTGAGTTTAGTAACACTTTAACCTCCTTAGCGGTAATCTCGAGTGTAGCTCGAGGTAAAATGTCAGTACCAAGAGCGGTAACCCCGAGCTACACTCGGGCTTACCATGCGGCGTTGCTCAGGGAGTCCCTGCAGCACTTACCTTGTCCTTCGCTCCCGCGATGTGTCCCCTGCAGCGTCCCCGGCCATCTCCTCCGGCCGATGCCGGCTTCCGCGTTCTGTTTCCAGTCCCTGTGACGTCGGGATGTACGGGCGCCGGAACCGACGGGAAATTCGAAATTTTTAAAAAATTTAATTTTTGCTGTCATTGCTGTTTCAATGCATTTCACATACATTTTGTCCCTACTGCTTTGTCCAGCGCCCTGCCTGCATTTTGAATGTTCTTTCTGCCTGGAAACTTAGAAAAGTCCATGGCGTCCAAAAAGCGTCCCTTTACGTCAAAAGCGGTTTTAGATCGGCTAGAGAACAGCGATAGTAAATCACAACCACTTGCAGAATTGAGTGATAATGATTCGTGGGGGAAATTCCTCATCATCAGACACTGAAAACGATTTTGCGACTTTGCTCAGCGATGTGCGAATTTGCCTCTGTATTTCAAATTTCAGTGTTTTTGGTTTGATTATATTTATTGAATTAAATTTATTATTATTATATTATTATTTTTTATGATTATTTATTAAATTATAATTTATGATTTCGTGTTTCAAGTTTTATCCTACCCGGGATGTTTACTAGACTCTTGTTCGGACAGATTTCAGTGAGTTATTCCTAAAAATTACAGCCTACAATAAAAAACTACATATTTCCATGCAAAACAATGTACCGCTTTCAGCACAAAAAATCGGAAAGAATCATACCGCCGAGGATGTTAAGCGAATACAGGATTTATAGAGCGCCAACAGTTTGCACTTCGCTTTACTGAATTAGGGGATACAGTACAGGTACAATACAATTTAAAACAAGAGGGTTAGTAGGGTCCTGTTTGTGAGCACTTACAATTTCTTGTATATGCTTTCTTTTTACATTATATTCAGAAAAACAAATGAATTTTTAATTTGGACAGGTAATTATTTTGCATATTTTATATTTTCTACTTGCATGGAGCAGTGCACTCGAGGTTACTCTGCAGCACTTCCACTGTGTGATTTGCTACTACTGGGGACAGTGTGTAGACTAAAAGACTGAAACTGCACACGCTCCCTCCTACAGTCCCAATTCAGGATATTACTTAAAGGAAGTCACAAATTCAGCAGGTAGTGCTGGGCTTTCTTAGGAAATCCAGGAGTACACAAAAATATGGAATAAAGACACCTTCCTATTCTGCATCCTTCCTCCAAGTCAGATTCTAGTTCCTGGACCCAAAAGTATTCTTTCACCCCTTTGGGCTCGAGGTTTTAAACAACCCTAGCAAAACAGGGGATCTAATCCTGCAGATAATTCTACCTCTGCATGAAGAACACATGGGTGCGTGAGGGAAGAGAGTTTCACCTCTGTCTTTCTCCTCAATTTTTTGCTTCACAGCCTCCTGTGCCTCAGCAACACATGGACCTTTTTTCAGCCATTCAGGGATTGTTGCACCAAGGGGTTATCATTCCTAGGTCTCTGGAGGTTTTCATTCAAACCTGTTTCCAGTTCCGAGTCCCATTTCTGCTGTCTTGGATTAAAGGCTCTCAATACTTTCTTATGTCCACAAAAGTTTCATTTAAAATCTGATCAGTCGTTTACTGCCTCTCATAATTGCAGTGACTTCTTAACATCAACTAACATAAAGGATGCATATTTATACATTGCCATCTTTTTAGGACATCAGCAATTTATTCTCTTTGCAATTGGTGACAACCGCTATCAATTTGTCTCCCTTTCCTCGGCCCTGAGAGTATGGCTGGCTCCCTGGCTCTCATCCTACCTGTCACAACGCTCTTTCAGCGTTACCTATAATGCTACCACCTCTGTCTCACTCCCCCTCTCTGTTGGGGTCCCTCAAGGCTCTGTCCTCGGGCCCCTTCTCTTCTCCATCTACACCTCCTCCCTTGGCCAACTCATACACTCTCACGGCTTCAACTACCACCTCTATGCCGACGACACACAAATCTATCTCTCAACCCCCCACCTCACCCCCTCGGTCTCTGCCCGAATCACACACCTGCTGAGCGACATATCAGACTGGATTTCGCTCCACTTCCTTAAACTGAACCTCTCCAAGACCGAGTTTCTTGTCTTCCCCCCAGCCCGGACCCCACCCTCCATTGACTTCTCCATCACATCCAACAACACCACCATCAAACCCGCCCTGCAGGCCAGAGTACTTGGTGCCATTCTGGACTCCAACCTATCCTTCCAGCCCCAAGTCCAATCTTTAACAAACTCATGCAGACTCCACCTCCGCAACATCGCCAAAATCCGCACGTTCCTAACCCCAGAAACCACTAAACGGCTCATCCACTCCCTCATCATATCACGACTCGACTACTGCAACTCCCTCCTCACTGGTCTGCCTCGCCGCTGGCTATCCCCGCTTCAGTCCATCCTGAATACGGCTGCCAGACTCATTCACCTTTCCAACCGCTCCGTCTCCGCCACCCCCCTCTGCCAATCCCTCCACTGGCTTCCGATTGCCCAACGGATCAAATTTAAAATCCTAACACTGACGTACAAAGCCGTCCACCACACTGCCCCGAACTACATCACTGACCTAATATCCAAGTACCACCCAGCACGCACACTCCGCTCCTCACAAGACCTCCTTCTCTCTAGTTCCCTGGTCTCCTCCTCACATGCCCGCCTCCAGGACTTCTCCAGGGTGTCATCCATCCTCTGGAACTCCCTGCCCCAACCCATCAGATTATCACCTACTCTCCTCTCCTTTAGGCGCACCCTGAAAACCCACCTCTTCAGGGAAGCCTACCCCACCCCCTGCTAACTTGCCGACCTCCTCCACTCTTCCTACCACTCCATCCCCCACAGCTATCTCCACCTGTGCCACCATCCCCTCCCTCCTAGATTGTAAGCTGGAAAGAGCAGGGCCCTCGATCCCCTCATGTTTTGCATTGTATTGGTATTGTTCTGTCACATGTTCTGTCCCCCTTTGTAATGTACAGCGCTGAGCGAACTATTGGCGCTTTATAAATACTGTATAATAATAATAATAATTCTCAAAGGTAATTTCACCAGTTATGGGTCTTCTTCCCTCGTCGTCAGTCATCAGATACCTGGACAATCTCCTGCCCTTGGCCTTCTCCTGCATACTTTTCAGGCCAAGGTTTTTCTACCCCAGGGGAAGTTAGCAATATTTCAGAATCAGGTTAGACAACTTTAGTCTGGACGTCAATCTTCCCTGAAAAACTGTATGCAAGTGCTGGGATTAATAGTGTCCAACTTCAAAGGAACCTGATTTGCTCAATTCCACTCCAGAACTTTGCAACAGAACTTTTTCATAGCGTGGGACCAATGCAGTTTTTCTCTGGACAAGATGAACCAGTTTCATTCTCGAACTAAGATATCCCTGTCATGGTGGCTTCTTTTCATAGTTTTTTTTGTCAGACAGCACAATTTTTTCCCCTGCACTGTGAGATTGTCACAATAAACAGCAGTCGTCTGGGTTGGGGTAAAGCTGTGGTGAAATGAGGGTGGCACTGTGTTCCTTCACACAGTTTGGGGTTCAAAAGACCTCATCAGCAACAACCAGTATTAAAGCTAATTACACACTCTACAACAACCCCCCTGGCTGATGAGGCAATGCTGGTGCCTGGTGATTGGCCAGTCAGGTCTTAAGCGCTACATTGTGAGGAGGGTGAGGGGAGCATCACATAATACCCCAAAAATACTAGTACAAAATACTTTTTTTTTTCTTTTTCAAATGTACAATGTTTTCTAATATATTTTTATTTAAGAAAGATAATATATTTTAATTACCATTTTTTTTTCTTTTCTACCTTTCTTCTTCTCAGATGGGATTCTTCCGTAGAAGATATAAAGAAATTATTGAAGCAGAAAAGAATCGTAAAGAGTATGAAGAAAGTTGGGACTGGGTCCAAAAAAATCAGTGAGCTGCATATGCCATCCCTGTCACCTGACACCCATTTGTTAGCTGATTGGCTCTGCTCTTGTATCTTCCATATGTGGAAGAAAAAAATCTTCTCCAGATTTTCCGGAGGCTCCTGGATGCTGTTTATTCCTTTATCAAGCAGACTAGCAAAGAAGAGTGTGTCCTGAGGCAACCACTGAAGCTAGATGAAGCGATTGGAGCAATACAATTTTCTCTGCCAAGATAAACTCTTACCATCATGCTGCAGTGAATAGCAATATTTATAAATCCATTATTTGTTATATGGTATATCTTCAGGGGAAGGCCTGTTTCCTATAAATGATTTTTTTTTTTTTAATGTACAACTTTTATACTGGTTGTGTTTATATGTGATGACATGATGTAAGGAATAGCTGTACAGTTTTTTAAACGCACTGATATCTGATCCTTAGCTACATCCACTGAATCCTCAAACTTGCTAATTCTGGAAGCTAAAAACACCATGGTTAATTTACTAAAGTCAAATGAACATTTGCTGATTTTAAACATCCAGTTATATGCAGGAGAAAAAAAATAGAGCTTCTTCTAAAACTGAAACATAATTGGATGTTTAAAGTGAATGCAGGTTTGGTTCAACTGATCAGCAAATTAGACCCAGGTTCACTTCATTTCGAAGCTTAATCAGGCCCAACAAAACATTTATTCAGGAGGTTATGAAATGCTTTTAGTTTCCAAAGTTTGCAGTATAAGAGGAAGAGTAGCTACATCTTTGCTTGATGAATAATTGTAAAGAGAATTTATATATACTGTATACCAGGGGCGGACTGACCATTTGGAAACTCAGGCACTGCCCGAGGGCTCGGGGTCAGTAGGGGGCCCCATGAGATGCCCCTGGTACCTTTTTTCATAGGCTTTTTTGAGTTTGGGCAAGGACACAGGGGCCCCATGATCCCCTATTGCCCGGGGGCCCCATGAGTTGTCAGTCCGCCCCTGCTGTATACATACAGTATATGTACCACACACACATATACAAGTAAATGCATATGTTAATGCACCATTTGGAGTTATACGCTCATCACCTCTATATGTGTATATATGCTTACACACACATTTACATTGTCATGTTGTTTCCATATTTTATTGTCTCTTATGTGCACTGCATAGCTTACTATTGTGTTTATGAAAGCACTATATGAGCATATGAGAGAGGAAATATGATGCACTTTTAGAAAGAAATTATACACCTCATACATTTGTAAATTTGTAAATGAAAAAAAAAATCAAAATGTTTCCATTAATACACAAAATATAAATGCGAAAAGAACTATGAGACATACATTACTCTTTTATCATATTGGCCTTTGTTAACTGCTGTCCGTAAGAGAAAAGCTATTCCTGAAAGGGATGCTCATGCAAAAACACCCTATTTAGTTAGAACTCTAGCTGCTTGCTCAGGTCTGCATGCATTTTTTTTTTTTGCAATACTCTGGTGTCCGTTTATGACACAGAGAATAGCTGTGATTCAGAGGATCGCAGCTATTCTCTGGTCATTCACAACCGAATCGGATATCGTATGTACTCTCCAGCGCCTCAGGATATGCACAGCCAAAAGGGAAGCCAAGGGTACCAGGACAGCGACAACCAAAGGAAATGCTTCAGGGGTGCAGCCCTCCTCAGACGGGGAGATCAGCCACTGGATAGAGAGAAAAACAGGTGGCGCACACACCTAGTGCATTATCCAAGGTTTATTGTAGGAGTGAAAGAATAATAAAAACATACTCACAGACGAAGCATGTATCTAAAAAGCATAAAAAAATGACAATGGCCACAACGGCAGGCAAGGTGTTCTCACTGTCAGTGCGGTCAAATGGCTGATGTGTTTCGGGGATGAATCCCTTTCCCCAGAGCTGATGACCAACCTCTGATGCTGATGTATGATGAATGGAAAGTAAGAGCCTTGCTGTTGATGCCTCCACCCCCTACCTCTGGCATCAACAGCAAGGCTCTTACTTTCCATTCATCATACATCAGCATCAGAGGTTAGTCATCAGCTCTGAGGAAAGGGATTTGTCCCCGAAACGCGTCAACCATTTGACCGCACTGACAGTGAGAACACCTTGCCTGCCGTTGTGGCCATTGTCATTTTTTTATGCTTTTTAGATACATGCTTCGTCTGTGAGTATGTTTTTATTATTCTTTCACTCCTACAATAAACCTTGGATAATGCACTAGGTGTGTGCGCCACCTGTTTTCTCTCTATCTGGTCATTCACAATTTATGACACTCAGGCGATCAGCGAGGAGCGATGTCAGCCCTTCACTGGAGATCTGTGTTCTCCCTCCAGATTCTCCAGCCCAGAGCTGGAGAATCGGAGGGACCGAAAACTAAGCAGAGATAATTTACCTCTGTTTAGTAAACTGATCTTTTACTGTAATCTCGCGAGATTATAGTAAAATCAGCCGTTTTCCAGCATTTGTAGACCGTTCTCCAGCGTTTGTAGACCGTTCTCCAGCGTTTGTAGACCGTTCTCCAGTGTTTGTAGACCGTTCTCCCTTCCTTTGGAGAACTGATCTACATATGCTTCATAAACTGCATTCACAGGAGAACTGTGTTCTCCGAGAATGCCGGAGAACTGAGCAGCGATCTATTACCGCTGGTTCATAAACGGACACCTCTGTGGTTAAAAGTCTCTATACGGTGAAGATCTAGGTTAGTGATAACAGCCTAGGACTTGGCCCATTTGTCCAGGACACTTTTAGTACACAGAACATTGTTCCCTACCAATGTAAAGTAGCATTTTCAGATATCTGTAAAGGGATAAAGTAAATACTTTAAACACTGGCTGACCATACACACAGTATTTGTACGTTTATATACATGTTAAGGCTGGCCATACTTTATACAATTTTCTTGAGATTTTTGCTTTAGATTTACCAAAAACCATATAATAGGAGGTCAAACCTAACAACTCTTTCAATTGTATCCAATTAGGCAGGCCTTTGTACCACATAGTTGGAGATAAATCTAAAGGAAATTGGACAGAAAATTGTATAGTGTATGGCCAGCCTGTTGCCATGCCAGGGACTTTTTTTATACTGTGGGGTTGATTTACTAAAGCTGGAGAGTGCAAAATCTTTGCAGCTGTGCATGGTAGCCAATCAGCTTCTAACTTCATTTTGTTCAGTTAAAGCGTAGGTGTCAAACTGGCGGCCCTCCAGATGTTGCAAAACTACAAGTCCCATGAGGCATTGCAAGATTGATAGTTACAAGCATAACTCCCAAAGGCAGAGGCATGATGGGACTTGTAGTTTTGCAACAGCTGGAGGGCCGCCAGTTTGATACCCCTGAGTTAAAGGATAAGTTCACCTTTGGGAACATGGTACATGTTCCCCCCCTGTACCTTTTTTAGGATGTAACATGTTCCCACAGCCCCTGCCTCCACCCCCTACCTCTGACAGTACGGAGAGAAGTCTCCCCCGTACTATCTGTCAAATTTGAAAACAGCGTGGCCGTGCAGGGCTCCGCCCACACGGCTGCATCATTAATTCATAGTCTTCCGTGAATGAATGAACTGCAAGTCCCAACAACCTTAGCTGTCCGCTTGTAGTTTTCAATGAACTACCACAGCGCTGTGGAGCTCCATGGTAGCTCATTGAACTTCCTGTCGGAATATCTGCTTGGCCATACATCCCGTACGGCAAGCAGATATTCTGACAGGTCTGCAGGAGGCCTGCATGGCATCAGCCATCTACTGATCACTGGTGTAATGCTTTACAGGCTCCTGTAGACAAAAATAATAAATTCACTTTTTTTTTACCTGCAAAAAATGTGCATTTAATATTTTTGTCTGTAAGGTGAACTTATCCTTTAAGCTTTGACAATAAAACCTGGAAGCTGATTGGTTTCTATGAACAGCTGCACCAGATTCTGCACTCCCTAGTTTTCGCAAATCAACCCCTGTGTGTTTTTAAACTATTCACTGCAGGGGCAATATTTGTGTTGTACCATTTTTCCAGATTGTCTTTTGTCGATTTCCCTATGTGTCAGTCGGTATGATTTGTAGAAGCGTAGACACAGACACATATTCCGTAGTGTCAGACACTGGACTGCATAAAAGCTGCTTTTCTTTTGCAAAGAATAAAGATAAAAGTGATTATTGGTTATTTTTACTGATTTTGAAAGCTCCTCATTTTAAAATAGGATATCAGCTTGACCGGAGTTCCTATTTAACAATCCATGCTTTGACCCATGATCAACATAATCCATTTGCTGGTATGGTTACTTGGTTTCTCATATGTATGAAGCATTTTCACAGACCTAAACTGCGGCTAAGGGAGGGATTCACCAGTGTGAATGTATACAGTATTTGTCCAAGGGGAAGACAAGGGACGGCATGGTCTTTATTAGGTTACATGCCCAATAAAAGAAAAAATGAACCCCATACCTTCCCACTGTGCAAAAGTAAAATGCAAACCTTTGTGTTACATTAAAACAAAGCAGCCATTGTATTGGTGCCACAGTATGCTGTTTCATTTGAGATTGGACTAATGGAGGTGTTCACCTTTGGGAACTTGTTACCCATTTTAGGGTGGAACATATACCATGTCCCTGCTCCTGCAATAAATAGTGACTAATTTTATTATTAAGGAAATATACTCACAAAGTGATGGTATAACAGGCATAAGTAACCATAATCCAAACAGGGTTACAGGTAAATCCAAAAAGGGGGGGGGGGATGAAGGCTAACACGTTTCGAAGGGTGCTCCCTTCTTCATCAGAGCTGGGTTGAGCAGATAGAGACTTCAGTATGGCAGAGTTCCCATGGCAAGGAGACATTCAGCCACTGAGTGTCAGTATTACAGCAGTTCAGCCTGTTTCAGCCTGTTTCGACTAAACAGGCTGAACTGCTGTAATACTGACACTCAGTGGCTGAATGTCTCCTTGCCATGGGAACTCTGCCATACTGAAGTCTCTATCTGCTCAACCCAGCTCTGATGAAGAAGGGAGCACCCTTCGAAACGCGTTAGCCTTCATTCCCCCCCCCCCCTTTCGATTTACCTGTAACCCTGTGTGGATTATCGTTACTTATGCCTGTTATACCATCACTTTGTGAGTATATTTCCTTATTAATAAAATTAGTCACTATTTATTGAGGTAATGCGCAAGGTTTGTGCGCTCTTTCTTTCATCTTCCCCTGCAGCTCTCAGCCCCTACCCCCTCCCTGTGACAGTGGGTCGGGGACACCCGCAGTCACAATTTTTAAAAAATGCAGCCGTGTGGGGCTCTACCTACCCGGCTGTGTCATTCCTTCACAGAGTTTTGTGAATGGGGGAACTTCAACTACCGTCAGCCTTTGTGGCTAAAGGCTTGTAGTTCTTAGTGAACTATCAGGGAACTAGTGAGTGCTCTAGGTAGTTCCTTGATTCTTCCTGTCATTGTGTAACTGCCTGCCTGTACAAAGTACAAGCAGACAGCTTACATTGACAGTCTGCAGGAGCCCTGCATAGCACCCGCAATCTGCTTAGCATGCAGGCTCATAATTAAAAATAATAAATGCACTTTTTTTACTCACAAGGTAAAAGGTGAACTTATCCTTTAAGACAAAATGCTACTAGAAATAAAACAGTTTAATGTATGCAATGGTGGGTGCTCCCAGCTCAACACTGCCTGGAATGTGGTCCTCTAGAGTCCTATATTCCTTAACCATCCTCTGAACAGAAAGCAGCCAAACTGGGTGGGCAAGAGAGAATGGCATCATTTGGAATGAAGCAGCTTGTGAAGGACTGTCCCTGAGAAATAAGATATTGATTTGAAATCAGATGGATGGAATCCCTGGTACCCGTATTATAAGCAGATACAGTTGTGTTCAAAATAATAGCAGTCAGACATCACTAACCGGATCAATAACTGTTTTTGGTAGAAATGATATTTCTACATGGCAAATAATTTCCTAGCAGGTGTAGTAGAGTAATAGAAATCCAACAGACCCAACAGT